GTGTGTGCGTGTGTGTGTTTGGGTCTCTGTGTTGCCTAGACTGGCTTTAATTGGTGTGCCCCATGCCTGTTTCATTTGCAGGTTTTGATTTTTTTTCTACCTAATGAGTAACAATGTTAGCATCTTCACTTGTGTTATTGCCTCTGTGTGTTGTGGTTGGTGGAGAGTGTCTGCTAAAATATTTGCTCATGGTTTGTGGTGGTTGATTGTTCTGAGTGAACTTTGAGAGTATTTTATGTGTTCTGGCTGTCGGGTCATCACCAGTTGTGTGATTGACAGGTGCCCTCTCCTAGTCTTTGGCTTATCGTCTGATTCTTTTAGCAGCATTTAAAAAAATAATTTAGTGAATTTTGTTTTCTTTGTTCTGTAATGGATTATGCTTTTGTTATTATATTTAAGAAAAGTCTTTGAAAAAAAGAAAAATCTTTGGGCCCTAATCCAAGATTAGGGACTTTATGGAATTTTAAAAATTCTTTGACCCATCTTACTTAGGTTTTGTATGTGCTGTGAAATCTGGGTAAGGATTCCCTTATTTGTAGTTATCGCAGCCCCTCCCATGGCATTGCAGTTGAGCATGTGTGTGCGGGGTACTTCTGTTCCCGTGGTGATCCTGTCTTTTTTTTCAGTGCCGCGTGGTCTTGATGACAGTGGCTTTACAAGAACTCTTGCAAACCAGCAGTGGATGTCCTTTAGCTTCGTCCCTTCAAAGCTGCCGTGGCTGCTCTTTCCTTTGCAATTAAAGTCAGAGTGAATTTCTGTTTCTAAGGTCTGCTGTTGACTGCTTCCAGGCTTGGCGTCAGTATGCAGATTTGGGAGCATCCCTAGAGCAGGGTAAACTGGGTGCTTTGCTTAGCATCTCAGCCTAAATTTTTCCACTTATGAAACGGAAGTGATTGTTTCCTTGGTGATTGTACATGTAAGTGAATCAATATCTAGGAAGCATCTTGTTCCATGTTCTAGAATCAGTTTCCCTGTAGGAGCCAGACTTGTAGGTGAGCAGGGCGACTCACTCAGCTCAGACATTATAGACAGACAATTTTTACTTGGGCTTTGTAGCTGGATGAGGGTAGTGCCCCTTACTTAAAAGTCCTCATTCCACCTAAGTACAGCGTGGGTCCTAAGCCAGGCGGTTCACCTAGGTTTACCTGTAGCGAGAGCAGGTAAGGACTTATTTTAGCAGAGCCAGCAGACTCTTCAGCATGGGTTTGCTCAGTGCCAGCTCCTTGGAGTCAGGAGTGCTGCCTGTGGTCAACATTTTCTCTCCACAAAGAGACTGACAACAAATAAAGAATAGCAGACATGTCATTGTAGTAAAGAGAATTCTGGAAGTATAGTTGGAGAGTAGCTAACCTGGAGCTGAGCGTCAGAAGATGAGAAGTGGCCTTGATGGTGAGGTCAGACCATTGCCTGCAGGAGCTGGGCTTGAGGCACAGGCAGGGAGATTAGAAACATAACGGGTGGATGAGAGAGGGCTGTAACTTTACTTACACTTACTAGAGAATAAGCATTCACTTGCAGGAAAGATGGAAGACACTTTGTAAAAAGTGGGGTATGGGGAGGAGACCCGGAAGATAAAGAAACAGACAAAACAGCAAGAAGTGATTTGGCTTCACCCTGCTGGTTTTCGGCAGGAGAGCAGTAAGATCAGATTTGTGGCTTTGTAAAATTGTCTTGGCTGCAATGTGCACAGCAGGTTCTAGTGGGTAGGATAGGAGGCTGAGACATGGGGATGAGGGTGATGCTCAGGGGGGCTGGTGGTGATGGAAGGAAAGTCAGAAGACAGACTTGCTGCAGGCTAAGTGTGTGGACAAAGGAAATGCTCCCAGAACTGATGGCCTGTTGTTATTATTATTATTTTTTTTTTGTAACAGGGTTTCTTTGTAACAGCTCGCTATCCTGGAACTTGCTCTGTAGATCAGGCTGATCTTGAACTCAGAGATCTGCTTGCCTCTGCCTCCTCAGTGCTGCAGTTAAAGGCATGTGCCACCATTACCTGGCTGCCCAGTTTTTTGTGTAGTTCACTTTTATTATGTGTGTGTGCATGCACATAATGTGTGCAGTGCAATATCATATGTGTTGAGGTCAGCAGACAGACTTTTCAGGAGTCTGTTCCCTGCTTCACTGTTGATTCTGGGGGCTGAACTTAAGTCTTCAGGCAGGCCTGCATGCAAGCACTATAGTCACAGAGCCATCTTGCCAGCTGGACAAATGGGCTCACTGGTTTAGCTGTGGCTTCTTCTCCAGAGTTGAAGACAGGTTTGGTGGGAGAGGCAGGTCGGTTGTTCCTGTGGCATACCTGGTGGTTTTCATGGAAACATCCCTGAGCATGGCAGACGGGGAGGAAGTGGTACAGTCCCTGGTGTACAGGGAGATGAAAGGGAGGCGGTGTACGCTTTGGAACCAGGGGCCCACGATGGAAAGACATTTGAGAATCATCTTTAAACTATGGGTTTAGCAAAACGCAGCAGTGACTTTGCTTTTCAAAACCGTTTGAATCTACCCAGCATGCATCAGTGCTGGATGGCTGCTTGGTCATTTGAAGTGTTCCTTTGTCCATGCACTTGATGGCCTTTCAAGTTGGCTGTCTTTGTAGCACAGAATCCATCCTGGAATTCAATTCTAATGTTGGAGTAATGCTGGTCCAGCATGCCCCGTTTGGGAATTACCTTTGATTCTTTATTTAGGATGAAATTAAATAAGCCAAATTCAGTTTTCAATTTTAAATTGTGTTTTTCTAAAGGAAGAAGGATAAAACTCAGAATTTGAGGAATGTGACTAAGAGCGTGGCAGCACAGAGGGAGGGCAGGGCAGTGTTCCTGAGCGTGGCGGCACAGAGGGAGGGCAGGGTTTCATTTCTGCTGCTGGGAAGAAAAAAATCTTGATAGCAAGCAATGTTGCTAAGAGAAGGAGTTTATTTTAGTTTGGAATTCTCAAGTCCATCACTGGCAGGGAAGTCACAGAGGCAGGAGTCCTAGACAGCTAGCTATGCCACATACACAGTCAACAGCAGAGAGAAATAAATGCACCAGTGCTGCCTGCCTGCTTGCTGGCTAGCTTTCTTTACTCTTAGTTGGGAACTGTTGTATTGCTGTAATGAAAATCCATGACCAGGGAAACTTAGAAAAGGAAACATTTAATTGGGGGCTGGCTTACAGCTTCAGAGGGCGAGTCCCCCATCACTATCGTATCAGGCATGGCAATGGCTCTAGAGCAGTAGCTGAAAACTTTATACCCTGATCATCAGGCAGCAGGAAGAGAAGAGAGAGAGAGGCTGAGCCTGGCATGGCTTTTGAAACCTCAAAACCCCCTCAGTGACACACGTCCTCAAACAAGGTCACACCTCCTAATCCTTCCCAAACAGGTCCATCAACTGGGCCCAATCATGTATGCATATGAGCCTATGGGGACATTTTCCTTTAGACCACCACAAGGATCTATTCCAGGGAATGGTGTTAACTGCAGTGGTCCAGGTTCTCCTATATCAACCAGCATTGAGATACCCCCACCCCCCACATACCTGTGGGCCCATCTGATCTAGGTAATTCCTCATTTGCACTCTCATCCCAGGTTATTCCAGGTTAACTAAAGTGACAGTTAAAACTAGCCAGCACAAGAGGTGAGGCTTGAGCACAATTCTGTCACTGTCATCTATACTTGGAAGTGGTTTGCAAAAATGTTACTGATTTGAAGAAAACAACTTGAATTCCAGCCCAGTGGTTTTATTTCCAAGTAGAAACTGAAGCCTCCATTCCCTTGGGGCCAGTGGATTGATCTTGAGTCACACTGACCATCTGATTTGAGGTAGGCTGTATCCTGAGCTCCCGATTCCTGATCTTGTGCTCTTTTTGTGGCTTTGCGACTTCTTGGAGAGGTGTAAAACAGTGATGAAACTTACTGAAGCTTTGGAGCCAATCAACTGAGTTTGGGTTGAGGTTCCAGGAAGTTGTTTCCTAGCCCAGTGCCCATCCTTGTCTGTTGGGCATGTGCCTCTTCGCTGGACTCTGGTTCTCACATCTGCGAATCACTTCATTACTGAAGGTTGTTGGTTGTAGGAGCATGGAGGGCTAGGAGGAACGGGTGTAAATGAGGGAAGGATATGTCAAATCAACAGCAGATGCTATGTCTCTTCTTATGAATCCCTTGGCCATTTTATCCTGAAAGTTCTAGGATAGCCTCTGTCATAGAGACCCAGGGCTTGGATCCAGGGCCTACAGCACACACACACACACACACACACACACACACACACACACACACACAAACACCACAGTGCTTGCATATGTACCCTCTTAAAAGTCGGCTTAGGCATCAAATAACTTAAATCTGACAATTGAAATAACCCTGTGATCATGTCCGTCTGTTGGAGAAATAGGGTGTCCATTTGACCTACTTCCCTGGGAACTAATAAAAATGATGGACACTAAAATCCATATCACTACAGCCAAGCAGGAGAGCCTTCTTCCTGTTGATGCTGGGATGGTAGTTAGATACAACCAGACTGAACCGCTCTGTAGAAGGTACAGAAATAACCCTGTTCTCCCAGTTGAGGCAAACAGTAAATATTTGGTTCAGTCAGTAAACATCAGACTTAAGGAATAATTGGAGCTGTTCTTATGTCTTTTGTTTAAGGTAATCCTTTAGTCTGGAATTTTACCAAATATAATAAAGCTTACTTAGCCAGAAACTATGGCAGTGCTTCAGCATTCACTGTAAGCCAATAGTAGTGTCTTTGTCTTAGGTTAGGCAACTAAGTTTTGGCATACTGAGCAATGAGAGAATGCACCAGCAAGCATGCGTTGTTTAAAAGAATACTTTGCCCCAGGAGTGATAATACACACCCAAAGACCAGCATTGGAAGGCCAAGGTGGGAGGGTCAGAGATTGAAGACCACAGCAACAACATAGTAAGTCTCAGGCCGGCCCTGGGACCACACGGAGGCCCCATCTCAAAATAAACATATATGTGAACACTTTGCAAACAGCTCTTCTTTTTAATTTTAGGAAACAGATATTGATGACAGGTATGGAGATCTCGATGCCAGAGGAGATTCTGATGTTCCTGAGATGCCACCGTCCTCAGACAGGACCCCGGAGATCCTCAAGAAAGCCCTGTCGGGACTATCTTCAAGGTACGATGGGTGAGGACAAGTCCATCTTGCTGCCTGGCACAAGCACATGCTTCAAGGTTGTCCTGGTTCATCCATGCATCCTGTTTGGCTTTTTGTGCGTTTGGGACAATGGGAGAAGAAGGTGGTAATGAAGGACAATCTGAAGTGCTTTAGTAGAGCCTTTATTTAACTCTTAGGCCATGTGCAGTGTGAGAAGACCAAGTCTGAGAGGTTAACTGCTGAAGGGATGGGGTTCACTGATAAAGGTTACAGAGACAACCCAGGCTCCTAGATTTTCTGGTGTTGCAATGTCTCATAATGAAAATCACATATTGTGTGTTCTTCATATGCCAGAAAAAAGAAGTAATTTGTATCATTTAATTTGATGGTTGTTTGTGTGAGGAGGGGTATATATATATGTATGCATATGGTGTATGTGTATGTTCGTGTGTGAGTGTTCATCTGTGTGCACGCACAGGCCAGAGGTCAGTATCAGGTGTCTTACTTGATGTGCTCTCTAGTTATTTGAGATGGGATCTCTCACAGATCCTGGGGCTCATTGATTTGGTTGGGATGGCCACCCCTCCACCCCCACCCTGCTGCCCCCACTCTGTAGTGTGCCACCGGGCTGTACCTTAACATGGGTGCCGGGACCCAAACGAGGCCCTGCGCTCACTCAGCAGAGGCTTTGGTGCCTGTGCCATCTCCCAGCCTCCAGAATGTCCTTCTTTAACTGAATCTAAAATTACTGTCTAAAACTCAACAACATGTTACCATTTTGTATTTGTGCTATCTTAAAGTGTTTATGACCATGGGATTTCAGCTAATTCTGTCTTACCCTTCACTGAATGCCTTGGTAATTTGAATTATAAAATTTATGAAACTGCAGGAAATGTTCAGTTTCATGCAGATTACTGTGTGAATTGTTGCACCCTGACAGAGCTTCACCAACATCTTCTTATACACCCCACAGAAAGGGATGTCTTTTACATCGCATCCTGAGAGCACAGGCACAAAAATGCTCTGAAGGTTTCTGTGCTGTTACCTTATATGATAGCCTCTGATTTCTTTGTGCTTGATGTTGTTCTTTGGTATTGAACTGATGAACATTTCTCCTGAGGAGTCACAGTCCACCATTCTAACACCGTTGGTCTAGTCATGGGGCAAAGGCAGTTGGGAGTTTCCTTGTTTGTGTCAGCTGATAACCACTCTGAGGATATAAAGGGAGACTCACATTCAACTCCATCTCTCCCCCCTTATCTTCACAATGTGGGTCAGTCCGGTGGTGTGTGTGTGTGTGTGTGTGTGTGTGTGTGTGTGTGTGCGTGTGTGTGTGTGTGTGTGCGCGCGCGCGCGCGCGCCCGCACTCTCTCCTCACCAAGTCGGTTTCTCTATAGAGATCACCCATTTGGTGTCTGCTTTGACACTGTCTACCTGGAGTGCCAGTGGGCTGAGGCCCAGGGCTGTTCCTACTTCAGACAAGATCACAAGTTGAGGCTTTCAGACCTCTCACCAGACACAGATTGGGTTCCCGTCAACCCTCTCATTAGGTTCAGTTCAGAGCAGTCCACAGGCCTTGAGGAAATGATCATATTGCCTCTTTATTATAAAGCATCTTAATGGACTTCTGACAAAACAGTCGAGATACAGAGTGAGGTATGCACGTCCCAAGTGTTAGATTCTGTCCCTATGGAGTTGTAGTCCCCTTCCTCCTGGGATGTGGATGAATTCTTGTTCCCCTTTCTGGTCTACTGTTTTCACCTCCCAAAATTCTTTGTGCCTCATCTTTGAGGGTTCAGGAGACTTCATGACAGGACTGTGAACAGATAAACAGGTCAGATCTGATGTTGGGATGTTGAGCCAGGAAACCCAGCATGGATTTCCCTCCCGAAACTTCTTGTCCTGTGGACAGTGCTCCTTCCTCCTGGGATATGATAGCACTTTTCTCAAGTGGGAGTCTTCTGGTCCCCTTCTTGGCAAGATGGACTTGAGTATTTCTGTACAGCCAGCTCTAGGACAGGATGCTGAAGGAAGATTTGAGTATACTTTTTGTGCCTGTGACCTACCTAAGAGAAGAAAAAGTCGGGTGTCTGTGGCCTGCCTTAGAGAGAAAAAAAAGGACCGGATTAAAGGAGGGCAGACGAAGGCAGCCTGGAAGATTTTGCTGTTTGAAGTCTGCATCTGAGGACTCTCCTGGCCCAGCATTAATCTAGTCTTTGAGAAAGTAAAGGCTTTGGGAGGTAAGCCTGGATTTGTGGTTGAAAATGGAAAAATCTGTCACAGTAGCATAAGCATATTAAAATAAATAATTTCAAAGCAATGTTTTCCTGTTGTTTTTATTTTTAAGATGATGGAACAAAGGCATGCTGTCTTATTGAAAGCATATCTCTGATTTTAATAGTCCCTGTTCCCAGTCATCCCTCTGACCTAGTTCATGGACACAGCTCTGCTTTAAAAATCTCATCAGATCTGTTTCATGGTGTGTGTGTGTGTGTGTGTGTGTGTGTGTGTGCTATATAAATGCATACACATGTGTGTGCTTTACTTTAGTGCTCTGTAATAATGATGCTGAAATCCTAGGTATCAGTCAGACTCCTCCTCAGGAGTGACCTTGTAATATGAAACAACAACAAACACTTGGAGCTATTTACTGAGCAAGCACTGTGCTGAGCACCACTTTTACCAATGAACACACACTAATACATTCTCACAGAAGCCCTCTCACAGTTATGCTTGGACTGTTTTGTAAATGAGGATCCCAACTAGTAGAGGGATAATATGAGCCCAGGCCTTGTTCTTACCTGCACGGTGTAATGAGGGAGTAGTTCTCAAAACCAGAAAGATAGATTGTATAACACTGTTCATGAGAGACTTTGTTGTGAAGACTAGAACAGTAGCTGGTCTAACAGTTTAATCTCAGACAATTGCTCTGTACAGAGTACATACATGGGTGTTTATATACAACATACAGTTTGAAGCCTTCTTTTAGTGTAATAAACCAAATGAGACTGTGTTGTAGAAACTTGAGTTTATAGATATGTTGGGTTAAAAGTCCTCACTGTGTGAGAAGTTTCTGAGTATCAGGAGGAACCCATGACCTTCCCAGCATATGTATTTGCAGTAGTGGTATATATTCTCAGACCCTCTGTCCTGTGCATTTGGTGTGCATGTGTGTGCATGTGCATATTGTATGTGCACATGTGTACACGTACGTGCCAGTGTGTGTACGTGTGTGATACAGAAATGGGATCATATTCTTGGCTATTTTCACTCCATTCTGTGGTAATTAGAAGCAATATATCCTTTCCTTAAATACCTTCTACCCTTTTGGGGGCATTTAATTTGTCTCTGAGTTTTCACAATGTAAAACATCTGCATATTAAACATGTGCTTCTCCCTAGAAACACATGACTTTGTTAAAGTGAGTCCATAATTTTCTTAAAGAGTGAACTGCTTGACCAAGGTTCAGGCTCATTTCTGAACTCTTACTCTGTGACACCTCAAAAGAAATGTGCTTTTGAAAAGTGTCATTTACTGCAGTTGCCTCAGGCATTACCTCATCCAAGTATGCTCTGAGGGGTGTGTCCATCAGTCAGGTAGGTGAGCGTGCTCTGAGGGGGTGTTCTCAGGTAGGTAAGCTTCATCTCTCAGTGAGTCTCTTCTGGGGACATGTGGCAGTGTATCGTGTCAGCATAATAGCTGCTGATGACAGCTGGTGGGTGGAGAGCAGACCTGAACAGCTAAGTGTGGTAGGGAGGCTCTCCTAACGGAGAGGCCTGCTTCAAAGTGTTGCTAATGCCACAGAAACCTGGAAAGCTCCAGAGAGGCCTGCTGGTGCTCCTCCCTGATTGGTGTTGCCATCTCCTTTCTTTGAGAACCCACACACTTCCTGTCCACCTCTGCTCCAGGCTTTCTACAAACTGCTGCTCTCCATTGGACAACAGCTCCTGCCTGCTCTTCAGGCCCACCTCTGGGTCCTCACCCTTGGCTTAAGTAAGCTGCATGACCACCCAAGTTCTCGATTACTCATGATGCTTGTGCCTCTAGGAAAATAATTAAAACATGTCACTAACTTTTGAAACAAAACTGACTTACTGATTATATTAACAGCCCGGCTGTGATTTGATCAGCATGTAACCACTTAAAATGATTGCTTTTTTTTCTGGCTGTACTAGGAATTGAAGCAGGGCCTCAGGTGTACCAAGTGTGGTACTCTACCACTGAAGTAGATGATTACTAAGAAACCCAATATAGACCATCCACTCCATGTTAGCAGCAGTGATTTCCTGCCCTCCATTGTGTGCTGTTTTTAAACTGAATACTTCAACTCTGAAAGGCAGTGTTTGATTATAGGAGGATGTGCTTCCCAAAGTTCACATGTGAGAACTCAGCCCCTGGTGCAACAGGGCTGAGAGGTGTGGCCTAATCAGAGCCCCTGTGGGTAGGTGCATGCCACTGACATGGGAGTGGGGGCAGTTGCCACACAAGTACTCTCGTTCTGAAAGTGACTTTTCTTGGTGGCTTGTGCTTGGCCTTGACTGTAGGATGAAACAGGAGCATCCCCAGGAGCCACGCCCAGAACCTGACCTCCTGGCCTCCAGGACTGAAAGAAGTAAATCTCTGTTCCTCATAAATTAACCAGCTTCAGGTGTCGTGTTACAGCAGCAGAAAGAGGACTAAAGACACAGTGCCACTTGATAATCACAGCACAGATAAATATTTATCTTCTAACTTTGTAGTTTTGGAAAGTCTGGAGATTAAATTAATTTTTATCTTATTGGCAGAATTAGCTATGCAATAAAACATGGCTGAGTAGAGACTTCTGGTGAGACTGGGAGCTCCCCATTTTCTGGGAAGGAGAGAGGAGGAGAAGAAAAACATACTGTTTTACAGAGGACACACTGGAAGTTTATGCAGGCAGTGGTAGGTGGGCTACCTGGACGGTATAAAGGAAAAGATGAATGAGGCTCAGAAGGAGGGCAGGCTGCACACAGCTGTACATACGGCTCATGGGAGGGGAA